CCCCGCCCTGCCGTGCGCCTGACGTCACCGCGCCGCCGCCCCACCCGTTGCCATGGCAGCAGGGCCTGGCGGCGCAGAGCGGGACGGGAGGCCCGGCGGGACGGCCCCGGTTCTCGGCCCCGGTTTGCCCGTCGTTCCTCTGGAGCGGCGGGGCCGAGGCTCGCCGCAAGGAGAAGCGGGTGCTGGGGGGGGAGGCGTCCCTCCGCAGCCCCCGACGACACCGGGCCTGGGCCCGGGCCCAGCCCCGCCGCGCTGCTGGCGGGGCCAGGCCGCAGGCGGGGCCGTTCCCAAAACTACCAGCAGCCATTTTTTGGAACAGGGCGGTCAGGCAGATAGGCGGGCCCTTCCCAGCCACGCTGGTCGCACCTTTTATTTTTTTTCTAGAAGATGGGAATGGATTTTATTTAAAATTTTCATTCTGCATTTTAAATGGCACGCGTTTAAAGGTGGGGTTTGGAGAGGCCTCTGTGAATGAGTGTAGAGCTGGTTCTTGTCTGCTGCCGTACGTGTTTAGAAACAGCGGGACCCAGGGGTTGGGAGCCTCAAGGGTTTGCAGAAGCATTTAGGATAGTGTGAGCGCTGCTGTCTGCAGGTGTTACTCCTCTTGAAGCGCTGTCTACAAATGCATATTTAAAGAACTGTATGTGCCCCAAATTAATTAAAACTCTCGTCCTTCCATGAAGAAATAAGAACAGATTCAGATGTATGAGATCCTTCACAAAGCGGGAGAAGAAGTTAAAGAACAGCAGTGAAGTGCAAGCATGAGGACAAGGGGCAGACAGTGGCTGTTAAAATATTGTATGAGAAATCAGAAAAATCTGTTAACAAAACCACAATGAGGGGCGTAAAGTTTCTACGGGTTAGCAGCTTTAAATGCGTAAAACAAGGGGGAAATGGCTTGAAAATTAGACCTCCATCATTGCCAGGGTAGGTGGTGACTTGTAGCCTGCTCTGTGCTCAAAACAGCATGAAAAAATATTGTTTCTACAATACCTTGCTGCCAAATATAATGAGTATCTAAAGTAAATTTAGAATTTGGAGACAAAGTTTGGAAATGACATTGGCAAAAGCAGTCCCGGTTTCAACTAAGCAGTGGAAGAATATGTGTCAGTTCTGCTGAGTTACTAATTATCTGCCTGGGTGTTGTTGCTGTGGGTACTTCTGTACCAGAGCTCTTGCCTGCTCTCAGCACGGGAGAGGGAAAGCAGAACTGGCCGAAAGGCTTCCCCTCTTGCTTCTGCAATTCGAAGGTCAGCATTGCAGCTCACAATGTGTCCTGCCCCAGCTTCTCCAGCTGGCTTTTTTTGTCAGCTGTGGGTTACATCACTTTCCTTTGGCTCTCTTCCCAGCATCCCCAGTGCACACTGGCTGCAAAAGGGGTGGTGTATTTATTATACCAGTTCCCTGCCATCCCTAAACAGAAGAGGGATTATCTACAAATATTTCCTCGCAAAGATATTTCAGCATTGTTATGGTGCAGTGGGGAGATCTCCCCTAAAAGCTCAGTGGTAACTTTTGAGTTTACACCTATGTCCATGAAAGTCTGCAAGAATTTTAGTCTGGATGTAGGTTGTGTTGGATTTTCTCTTAGCCAGAGATACCAGCTCACTCTGATTTAATTGAACTTCTGCAAAATATGGGAACGATAACTTGTAGTAAGATTACAAGGTCATAAATTTCAATTCTTACTTTTCGGCTGTATATTCAGCCCACTTCGACTCTTTGCAGTAATTGGATGTTTTAAAAATTTAGTTCTTATCAATTTTTAATTAGGCATAATGGCACGTTTTGCCATATGGGTCCCTCAACTTCTCTCAAAGTTAGTGTATGTGGAGGCCTTACCTCTAAATGCAGACTGATGTCCTGGTTCTTGGTGGCATTAAGGAGATGTGGTACCACGGGGAGTGTAGCCCTCAATTAAAAAAAAAAAAAGGTAATTAAAAGGACAGATACTTTTGTACTAAGTTAAAACTAGCTTTGGTTTTAACCTAAAGCAGCTTCAAAATATCAACAGATAGGAATGTAAAAATTAAATGGTAAATGGACCTCAATGTGAAATAGTATATGTTATTAATGTGATTCTTTGAATATGTGAGTTCTTACCTATGATTGATTAGTATAAGTAAAATGCATTCAAGAGGTTATTTTTTAAGCTAATGAAAAGAGCTGCTTGTGTCTTTGCTATATTCCTGGCTCAGCAGTATTAGTTCAGAGTCTGGAGATGCATTGTGAAAAATAACTTGGTAAATATGTTTGAATATTGGAGGAAGGCTGATGGAGGAGAAACAAAGACTTTTAGCGTATTTTCAAAATAATGTCAATCTTCAATTAAGCAAATTATAGTTCTTGTTATCAACCTTTTAAAGAGGAAGGCTATATGAACTGAAATAAAAAGCCATGGTAGAAAGTGTTTTTCTTCTTTTACCAACAGTGATTTCATCATAAGAATATTGTCAACCTGATTCATGTATTTAGGCAGAAAAAAAAGACTTCACTTGGTGTTTGAATTTAATCGATCATACAATTCTAGACGAGCTCCAGCATTATTTCCATGGATTGGATAACAAAAGGCTTAAAAATACCTTTTCCCATTACTACAAGCAATCGAGTACCATCACAACAATAATGTAAGAACTCACTTGAAAGATTGATCATAAATAAAATGTTACCGCTTTCAGATCACACCTTTTCTTTTTTTGTAGTGTTTTGTCATACAGATATCAAAAGTTTTAATTCTTTATTGAGAAAAAGGTTTTGTTTCATAGTTTAAGACTTCCAATTGGCTTGAAATGATCTGCAGAATTGGAACAATACAGTAAAGAGACATCGGAGTAGATGATCAGAGGAGTACTTGGATAGTAGTAATACTTACTACTACAGAGTATTTGGACCCATCTCTGAAACTCTGAAGAGATAAAAATATTCAGTACTTGATCCAGCCCATTGCATTACTACCTTGCCAGCTGTCTTCCCTGCCTTCCCTTGTCCTGCTCCCACCTCATCCTTCTCCTTCGTGCTGTCTCATCAGTTTTAATCACTTTTGGTTTGTCCTGCTGTTGATGGGTGGGGTACTGTGCAGAAATCAGTACTGTACTGTGCAGAAATCCTGCTCTCTTTCACTCATCATCTACATTAAGCAGTTGCTAATTGTAGTAGTATCAGGACATTGATGACTTTGGGAAATGAGGGCACTGTGTGCCTCACAGAGCCAATTCTGAAGTAGCAGGAGGGTTCTTCTCAGTCCATGCTTTCACGCCTTGAGAACTTCTAAAGCAAACAGAGCCTTATTAAACTATTTTGGTGGTTTTTTTGTGGTTTCTTCCTTTTTCTTTTTTTTTTTCTTTCCTTTGTCATACACCATGAAGTCAAACCTGAGAATATTTTGTTAACAAAAAGTGGAATTACTAAACTTTGTGATTTTGGTTTTGCTTAAACATTAGCTACCCCTGGTGATGCTTATACAGATTATGTGGTTACGTGATGGTACGGGGCTTCTGAACTGGTTTTAAAAGACCCCACATATGAAAAATACATGTGGGGGTTTCGGGGCAGGGGGGAGGGGTGGTGGTGGCATCTGTAATTCAGCAGGTATAGGAGAAGCAGTCTCCTCCATATGATCTTCTGCATACAAAGCAACATTAGCAAAAATGAAAATAATCATATAAAAGCTAAATTAAAACGGTGACATATAACATGCCTACATATAAGGTCAAAGATACTGTTACGCTTTGGTTCCAGATTTAGTGAAAGCAGTGCAAGGTTTATCTTTAAATACAGCACTGTTACTACATAAACCAAACAGATTGTTCATAATTTTTTTATAAATCTCTAGAAGATCGTTATCTATGTTATTCCTAGGTACCTGTGACCGTTTGCCCTGCAAATGATTTTCCATATTATCCATATGAAAAATGTCCAGCAGTGTTGGCGCTGAGCCCCTGTGATGATCAGTGATAAGGGTTGTCTGAAGAGCCCTAAGGAGCTGTGCAAGAGAGGATGCTGTAAAACTGAGGAAAGAAAGATGTGGAACTTCAGGGATGTAGCACACGTGGTTAACAACATGGTAACTCAGAAGTGCTAGGGGTTTTCCAAGTGTGTAATTAATTTCCACTAAAGATTTTATTTTGTATTTTATAAAATTCTGTTATTGTCCACCTGCTGTTATGAAATTCTGGAGAGGAAGTTTGGAATTGCAGAGAGGAGTGATAATTCCTGTCTGTATACTCTCATTTATGCTGTTAGGTATTGATTACTATTATTATTAGTAATAATAATAACAGTACACTGCAGTAGTTTTTCTGGTAATGTTGAACTATAAACAAGGAGGTAAACAGCTTAACAAGCCAGGATAATTCCTTTATTCTCAAACCTCAAATATAGTTTATAGAGCAGAATGAGTCAGCGGGAAGGATCTGCTTTTACGTATCCTTCTTCTCTGAGAGAAGAAGCACAGAGAGGAATATAGCAGTGTTGTATAGTTGGATTCATTTCAAGTTTTAAGATAGCAGGCTTTTGATGAGAGATTTTTAATGTATTTTAGCCATCCCCATGTGGATACTAGAATATGATATACAATCTTTGTATCTGTTTTAACCAGCTGATTTATTATCTGTTCATAATGTACTTTTTTCCAAGCAGTTGGACACCTCATCTTCAGAGTATTTTAAAAGGAGCCCATGTTTTTCAGGGATGGTATTCCCTGCAGTCCAGCATCCTATAAATGCAAGGAAAAGGTTCCCCCAGCTCACTGTCTTACTGGCAAACGTGGCACATGTACATTAGAGGAGGTCCGAGTTTCAAACTTCGTAACAGTTTTTACTAGTAATTGTGTATAATTTGTAACATTACCAAGAATGAAAAACCCTCTATCTAATATATAGTGATTGCAATCCATGTTCGTCAACTTAAATCTGGAACACAAATCTGTTCCGGGGAGTGCAGCTTCCCTACCCAGTGTCTCTTCCTGAGCATCGCTTCCAAGGAGAGTTATCCCATGGTTCTGCAGGAGTTCTGTTCTGGAGAGTGACTCTGTCATTGAAATGGGCAGTGAAGTTTAGGACATGAGAAATGCATTCATTGAAAAGCACTTCACTAAGACGAGTTAAAATTTCATTGCTTGTCCTAAGTTTGGAGATTATTTTAATGTGACTGAAACATGATAGTACTTTAATTTGTCAAAATTCAGTATGTTTTTTCCTATGAGTACAGCTGAATATGTGAATTCTTATTCTATGTGAACACAGCATGTGAATACATTTTTCTATTTCATCTGCTAAATAGCATTTTCTATTAGAAACCCCATTCAGTTACAGTCTGTCGCCCTAACTCGTATGAGGAGTTCAGTTGGTTTAATTGTGAATGTCCACACATTAAGAATGTAGCACATCAGAAATTACTAACTAGAGAAGCTGGGATTTTCAGAAATGCCAAGGAGATTCAGGACCATAAGTGCCAGTCCACAGTTTCATACACATTTATGTTAATTTAAATTCACTGATGTTATAATTACTATATTCACTGAGATGCAGTTGCAGACACTAATGGTTTTAAAAAAAAAAAGTGTTCTGTTCAGACATCAAATCTTGTTTCCCCTGATGTCAGTAGGAACGGGAATGGATTTAGGTTTTGCCATTTCCATTAAGCAAAATAAAAAATCCAATAGGCAATCTCCTGTCATAAAAAGATCTGAGAGCAGATGGAGGAAGAATAATCTAATTGAGATGCATTTCTTTTTTACTAGCTTGCTCTATTTCATTTTTAAGAGCATAACTAAAATGTCTTCTTCCACAAAGAGAGCTTGTTCATTAAGTCTTAAAATAAATGACAAGCAAAAAAGCTCTTTTATAAATCTAGAATGCTAGTGGTGATACCAGGCATTTCTAATAACCTATTAACACCACAAAAACTCAAAACAAAAAATGATGAAGCCCACTGTTGAGTAAAGACCAGCGAAGCTTTCACCAGCAGCAGGCTTTTCTGACTCATTCTTTCTCTGGCAATAGAAAATGCAGTTGCTGCAGAGAAATGAAGGATCTCATTCATTCATGGGGGACGGGGAAAAGGAAAGACCAGGGGCCAAGCTTTCCTCCCACGGCTGAATTATAGTGCTGGAGAGGGTTTACTCCTTCCCTCTCTGGTTCTGTTACGTCCTTCCAAATCTCTGATAGTTGTAGTGGAAAATGTGTTTAAATCTCCAGAGTCATTGATCTGGTTGACGATGGGTTGACTTTGTGTTACGGATGTATTTTCAGAAGGTGTTAAGTTATGACATTTAAGTTTAATACTTAAAATGAAATGGAGCTTTGAAGTGTATGAGAGAAGAAAGGGAAAGCAGTTTATCCATTAGGCTACTTTGATTCCTCAGAAGTCTTTGTAACCCTTCAAAATCCTTTCACAAACATTTTGAGAGCTTCCAGGAGGATTTATTTTAGTTTGTCTTAGTGTGTTTATTTGGGTTTCTTTTAGGTTCCCTATGTTTAAAATGAATCACACAGAGACAGCATAAAGGGACATTATAAAGTGACCCACTTCAGAAGTGGCCACCATCATCCAGCTGTGGTAGCTGGAAGTGAAATGGAAATGGGAGGGATGGAGGATGTTCTTTCAGAATAAGGACATGATACAGGAACCTCGTCTGTTCCTATGTATTTAGAGGGGTATTAGCCCATCTATTTCAGACATCTGAGTTATTTGTTTAGGTTAGAAGCATCTGTTTTTCATCTGAACAGCCAAGGAAGAGAAGCAGAGATTCTCAGAAAATGCTACACATTACCCCAGTTAGGCAATAATTAAACTCTTAAATCAGATGTTCTAAACTGCTTCTGGAAGAATGTCTCTGTTTATTGGGATAGGGATCCTACCTTGCTCACCTAGGCCCTTTAGTTTAAGAAGCTCCAGGCAGGCAGTCTTAAAAGTTGGGTGATATTCCTCAGGTATGCAGAAGAACATATACATGTGAGATAAGGTAAAATCAGCTCTGGAAACACTGCTGGCAGGGAGCCTGGATCCACCTGAGCTGAGCTGCAAGCCCCTCGTATCTTCTGATATGCTCAGAGAAGACGTTATGCATTGAAGGAAGAATGTGTAGTCAGAGATGACATGTTTTTCCTGGCTGGCCAGAAGATCTAAATTGATGATCTTATGGTACCTGTCTCTTGTTTCCTATTCCATGCTCAAAACCTGCACGACTGCAAGAACTTCAGGCTCTGTTCGTGCATGTGAATCGCATCCACAGATGCATAAAAGGTAGGGCAGCACACATAATTGCAATTTGGAAATAAATACAGGGACAGATCATTGGCTATAGAGACAAAGGGGCAGCATGGGAGGTGAAAAAGCCCTGAGTGGATGTATAGTTGCCACAGCTACCCTGATAGTCCATTCATAACCCCTATCCAACAAATTAACGGAGTATTTTGGGACAGTCCTCAGCCAGCAGACTGCTCCTGAAGGGAATATTTTCTCCAGTATAATTTAGATAAAACTCTGGGGCCCTTACCTACCCTAGAACTGGGAGCTAAAATAATAACTCACCTTCCACCCACCCGCTGTACCAATTCAGAAGGATGAGCCAAAAACCATGAACTAGGTTACACAGCAACAGAATAAGATCCAGACACCCTAGATGTTACTGAAGTAGGTGCAATGACAAAAAAATTCTGAGATAATTTAAGTAGAGAACAGACACCAAATAGCACTAGATGAAAAGATTCTTAATAACCTAATGATATGAAATTATGAATAATCTAGTGAAATGAACAGATATAAATTCATAACTACACACACACACTGGTAAATGAGTCACCCCTGTAGACTGCAAACTGTCCTCGGTTTGTGTGTGTGTGCAGCAAAGTAGAGATATTTAGAGGAGCCTCAATATGTCCCAAAAGGTCCCCAAAAGCCTGTATTTCCCTAAAGTTCTATAAGATCTCTCACAAAATGTTAATTATATGTTCTCCTACACAAGAGTGGATTCAGAGACACTGGCCAAGTCTTCACTGTGCTGAGCCTTCTTGTTAAGAGGCATAAATTTATCATGGAAAAGCACCAGATCTGGCCTATTGCAGAGCAAGGAGAAATCACACTGAACAGTGAAGAGAAACCATTTTGCTGCCACCCAGACAGAGGCTGAGTAAAGCAAACTCCCCAGTCAAAATAGCAGATAATGTGCAACCACCTTTTAATGTATTAAGGCCAATGGGTTATGGTAGCTTAGGAAATGCAATTTCTAGCTTTTAACTTGTTGAACACTTGGCTTGGCCACAAAGAGTTTTTTACAAGAACCTCCATACAGCACTTTCTGTATAATACTTTTTAAAAGGTGCAATACAGCATTAAGCATTGTTTTGGAGTGATTTCTCTAAAAATTACCATTCATTTCATCTGTGTTGTGCTGAGCCTGCCAGCCAGCAGGTGTGGCTGTGGAGCCTTTTGAAATCCACAGGATTTCTTCCATCAGTCCAGAGGCTGTGGAGAGATGTCATCACTGTACCCAGTGGTATCTAACAAGGATATTCTAACAAGTTACGTGTTTGCTTCACCCTCGGAAATCCCAGAGTAACTGTAAACACGAGTGACATA